TTACTTGTTCATTTAGAGCAGTTTGGATGTTTTTAAGACTTAATTCTAATGGTATCTATCAAAGACCATCACAGTAATAATCATATAACAGCTGATATACAATTTATAACAACAGGTGTGTGGCCAAAGATATATTTATTTCAATTATCTAATTTTTTACAGTCTGTCTAAAATCCATCTAAACATCTATGTGTGGATCTTGACCCAACAGCCATAAAAGTCTTATTTCATTAAAGCAGTTCTAAAGATGACAGTTAATGCTGGAGAAATGCTCCTCCGACCAGCGACAATGCTCCATACTGCTCCAATCACTTCTTTCTAAACCGCCAATCAGCCCCGAAAAAAGAGAGAAAAAGAGATGGCTGAAAAACAGAGTGAAAACCAGGAAGAACAGGTCCGGTCCGGTTTGGCATGTTGTTTGTCCAGAATCATCAAACCCAGCCAAGAATAGAAGCAGGCTGCTGACAGTTGGAGTCTGACTGGTTCTGTTCCAGTGGAAGGTTCTGGTTCTTTGGACCGGGGCAGTGACGGTTGGTGGAGGTTTTGAGGACCCAAATGCAGAGGCGAGGAGGCAAAGGTGAGATCTTGAAGATTTAATGAAATAACTGAGGCAAAAATCTAAAAACCAAAGGAAGGAACCAAAAAACCAGACTACTACAGGTGAAAACTCACACAGGGAGGGAGAGTATATGAGACTGAACAAAGACAGGACTAATGAGCTGATTGGGAGCAGGTGTGAACAGAGGATTCTAGAAGGGAGCGAGGGAGACCAACACAAGAAGGGAACAAAGGGCAACCAAGAAAAAAATAAGAACTCAAATATATCCAGGAAACACTACAAAATAGGAATTAAACCAATAAAACTGGAGACAAAGGAAAACATGGATCAAAGTGAAACTGAAAACTAAAAAGAAAACTTAACAGAATCAAAACCGGGACAGTAAGCCAGGCTAGATTAGGATTTAAATTAAACTGGATGCAAACAAAATAGTCTCTACTGGAACATGATATGGAGTAGATTTTATTTAAAAAATGTAGACTAAATATAAAACATTATTAGTAAACTATTGAAAAGCGTGAAAATGTAATTTTCAGGATGTTGTTCAATGGTAGAAATCACAGTAAAGCTGGAAAAGTGTTAACCCTTTATAGGGCACTCAGTGAAATACTCCAGGAATAGACCTTATTGCCTTTGTAACATTCAAAAATATGAATATTTTTATTACAAAAATTAATGTCAATATAATAACAAGAAATGCCAACTTGCTCAAATATATTAAGAACAATAACAAAAGTGCTTCTAGAAGAAATTCATGAAAAACACTCTGAGAGAGAAAGAAACACATTTTATTTGGTCCAACATAACCTTAGAGGCATTAATGCTGATACTGGTACTGACATCTTTTAGTTTATAAACCTAAATATAATTGTCAACTGGG